AGCTCCCTAATGGCGAAATTGTGACCTGAGCCCAAGTCAGATGCTTAACTGAAGGGGCACCCCTAAATTACTGTCTTTTAAGTCGATATACCTTTCAGAAATGAACTGAGTTTCTTTCCGGTGCTGCCACGCCCTGGAGACAGTTTGAAGTTGGTTTCTGACCGCGTGTGAGGGTGTGAGCAGGTCACCTGCCCCCGTGAAGCTCAGGTGAGCCCACAGTGGCCAGCACACGCAGGCAGCCGCTCCTGCTGGGAGCTGCTCCAGAGAGTTGGGCCGTCTGGGTCCCCAGAGAGGCTCCTGGCTCGTCTGGCAAAGGACAGCAGAAGGGTTCTGACTTTTCTCCCCATGTGACCCTGGAAGTGGGCTGTCTGCTCTCCACGTGGCCACGCCTCGCTCAGCACGGCCTCTGGAGACCAGCCTGCCCTGAGGCCTGCTGAGGTCAGTGGGGACGGGGTGGCGGCGGGGGGTGCAGCTCGCCTCTCCGTGAGTTCCGTTATTTCAAGCGGCTTCTCTGGTTGGTCCGGTGACGTTAAGACCAATGTAGGGGGTACATGAGTGTTCAGACTCGGTCGGTGATTTTGGCTGTAGACTTTTGGATGGTTTTCAGTTCCAAGTCCATGACCATCCAGGTTCAGTATCGAGACGGCACGTTTATTTCCCTTCCCACTTTTTGTAAACCTTTTTATTCCTTTCGTGCTGAAATCCCAGACGTTATTTACCTCTACGAACGTCCATAGGCATCTTTCTTTTAATGTTTGTTTAGTTTTAGGTGGGAGGGAGGCAGGGAGGGGACAGAGGATCCGAAGTGGGCACTGTGCTCAGAGCCCAGTGCGGACCTCGAACTCGTGAACCGTGAGATCGTGACCTGAGCCACAGTCGGACGCTCAACCAGCTGAGCCACCGGGCGCCCCCACCATATGCATCTTTGTAGAAAACTGGACCACAGTGAGATTTTAGAGTTGCCTCTTGAGGACTTGGCCGTCTCAGCTCGACGTGGAAGCGTGTGTGCGGTTTGGGTGTGGATCACACTCTCGTGGGAAGAGCTGTTAAATCGGGGAGGACTTTGTTGGCCAAGAAAACAGCAAGCACCCTGCGATCTGCGATCTCAAGCCTCTGTGATCTTTTGACTTTGAGTTCCTGCCCCGTGCGGTGGGCATCCGGGACCCTGGAGTGCGATCCGGGCCTCCTGGCCGGGCTGGAGGAGGCCCGGCGCACGCTCCTTGGAAAGCCTCAGGTCCTAAAACCCTGCACTGTCCCCTTATGCTGAAGGGGAGGCGTCCACGTCATCCTTTTGGCTTTAGAACTCGGTAATCGTTGGATTGTCGTTGTTGTGTCCTGGCCACAGAGCTGGATTTTGTGAAGACTCACACGTCTGTAGAAGGGGCCTCTTGAACTGCGTCTCACTGAGCTCGTAGTGTTTCCCCCCTCGCTCCCTGTTTGCTGCTGAACACACAGGTCCTTCCTGTCGTGTCTCGAGGAGCACTGCTGCTCCCCGTGCTCCTGGCGCCCCCAGCACACGCACGTTCTGCAGCGAGACGTCTGACGCAGGTCCCGCGGGCCGCGCCCCTCGTGGATGCTCCGGTGCAGAGCTGCTTCTGCCTTTCCAGCTTCCAGAGGCGCCCACGCCCCTCGGCTCGTGGCCCTGCTCCCTCTGGAAGCCGGCGATGCCGTGTCTCTGGCCCGTCCTCCTCCTCCGTCCTTCTGACCAAAGCCAGCGCGGGCTCTCTGATTTTAAGGGTTCCCGCGTTGCAGCTGAGTCCGCCTGGGGAGTCCGAGGCGGTCTCCCCTCAGCACCACCTGGTGGGCTCCTGTGTTCCGCCTCAGCCCATCCCCCTTTGCCGCGTAAGGACACAGATAACACAGTCAGTCTGGTCTACAAGTGGACTTTGTACCTTTCAGCGGATTCCAGCTTTTTGTAACGGAAATTGCCGTGCGCACCAGTGGAGGGAACGCAGCGCCGCGGCACCTGCCCAGTCCCCCGTCCCCGCGGCTGGAGCCCTCGGGGGCACGGACCCTAAACACTTAGTTTCGTTCTCAGTGGGGACGGCCTGGACAGCCCTTGTGAAGCTTGGGTAGAGGTCATCTGCCAGGTTTTGTATTTCTGCAGGAGGGTAGCCGGCTCGCCTGGAGCCCCACAGAACCCGCAGAAAGTGGGTCGTGTGACCGGTGACCAGGTGACTCACGGTGTCCCTCGGTTCCCAGCGTGCTGGCTGAACCCTGGCTGCCTGTGCTGGCCTGCCGGGCTTGCGGGGGGTGCGTGAGCTCAGCGGTGTGTGGGGGGGTCACAGCGCCAAGTGATGGTGGCTTGGCGCGGCGGGCGTCCCCTTTCCCGCCCGGGCCTGTTGGTTCCTGCAGGGACACTGAGCTCCCACCAGCAAGCAGGATGGACAGGTGGCCCCCAAGAGTTGGACCTATCCCTGCCCCCCCCTCCCCCCCAAAAACGAAGCAGAATGAAAGCCAGGCCCTCCCGCCCTGGAGTGTGGGCAGTGAGAGGCTGGACGGGGGCGGCTCCAGCCCAGCGGGTGCTCTGGGACATCTCGGTCTTCGAGGTCCTGACTTAAAGAGACATGGTGAGGGGCTGGCACACGGCTGGGCACAGAGGGGGCGGGAGCACAGCGGACACGGCCGCCGGCCAGCTGTGGGGCCACGGCTCGGGCCGTGTGGGGCACGGGGCCTGGGGCAGCAGTGAGAGGAGACAGAGCTGGTGGGCCACGTGTCCCAGTGTTTCTGAGTCACAGGTGAAGCTCACAAGTGCAGTGACCCTTGGACGACACGATGTGAACGGGGCAGGTCCACTTACCACCCAGATCTCTTGATCCGTGTAGGACAGTGTTGTAAACGTATTGCTTCCTGACCATTATCTTAACGAGCTTTTTTTGGTCCGGCTGACCTGTTGGTAAGAATACGGCCGGAAGACACACGACACGCAAAATGCACGTTGTCGCTGAGGCTTCTGGTCGGCAGGGGCTGTAGTCCTTAAATTCTGGGGAGTCAGGAGTTAGGAACGGATTTTCGACTGTGCAGGTGAATGGTGCCCCTAACCTGTGGCTTGTTCAGGGGTCACTTTACCAAGTGAAGTCTGTCCTGTCCCCGCCCGCCCTGTCCGGTGCATCTTCCCAGCGACCTGGAGGCCGGTTTGAGGTTGGAGCCCTCGAACGGGACACACGTCTGCCCCAGACTGGCACCCGGCGGGGGGCTCGCGGCGGTCTGCCCGCTTCCTTCGGGGTCCCGGCTCCACCCGGCACCCCAGGGGCTTCGCACACTGTGCGCCAGCGGCCGTCCGTCCGGAGTCCAGAGGCGCGGGTGTCAGCTGGGAGGAGGAGGGCGCAGAGAGGCCCTCGGGGTCCCGGGGGCCTGGGTCCAACGGTGCCACCGGCCGCAGGCAGTTGGGATGGGAGCGAACGCGCAGGCCTCGCACGGACAGTGCTGTTCGTTTTTGTTGCAGGCAGCTGATGGCACAGGAGCCCCTGGAAAAACTGGGATTCGGAGATTTGATGGATGGAAAACCAGGGGCAGAAACTACCTCCTGATGGGAAGAAGTCCATCCGCCGGCTGCTGGCTTGTCCAGGGTGGAGCGTGTTGGGTGACCTTGTCAACTGACGGTTTATGGTTAGGCGCTGTGACTTCAGAAGAAGTTTCTGGAACGCCCTCCTTGGCGGAAACCTTTCCTCTTGATGTCTCCCAGGTTATTCTGAGAAGCGATTGTCCCCTTTAGGTCTCATTTTCCCCAGGAGCCTTAGATTTTATCTTTACATTGAGAGAGTTCCTAGGGAGGCCTGTGGCGGGTGGGAGGAAGGAGAGCAGAGTCACGCCCGCTGCGCGAGGGGACACGCGGGCATCCGCGACGCGGTGACTCCCTCTGTGATACCGTCCGTAGCTTCTCAGTACTGACATGCTGAATGCTAGCGGTTTCAGCCCATCACATAGACGCTGCCCGAAAACCATTTCCTGGCAAAATGGTTTCCTTCTGTGCCCATTTATTTCCCGTGTTTTTTTTTTTTTTTTTAAGCAAAATATAAAATATAAACTTGGAAATAAGATTGTTAACTTTTGACATATTTGACTTACTCGTTTTTTTTCTGGTAGTGCCTGAAACACCAGTATCTTTTTTTTTTAATTTTTTAACGTTTTATTTATTATTGAGAGACAGAGCATGAGCATGGGAGGGGCAGAGAGAGGAGCAGACACGGAATCCGAAGCAGACTCCAGGGTCTGAGCTGTCAGCACAGAGCCCGACGCGGGGCTCGAACCCACAGCCCGTGAGATCATGACCCAAGCCGAAGTCGGACGCCCCACCGACTGAGCCCCCCAGGCGCCTCGAATCACCAGTACCTTTGAACCAGAGGCTCATTTTCAGACCTGTGTGCGTGTACATAAAGCCAGTTCAATTTCAGTAACTCATTTATTGTAACTCTGGAAGTCCGGACTCTTGTAGTTTGACTTGCACGCGTGGTCTTCCGGTGTGTTGCTGTGAGAACACCCATGTGCACGCGCCATCGGCACTGGCTTCCAGGGCCTCTGAGCACACATCAGGGCAGGGTCTTGTGGTGTCCTGTCTCACCGACCAGGCCCACAGCGGCAACGTCCAGGAAGGTACCAGTTTGCCTGCAGTCAGTTAGACCTCACGCGTACCCAGATGCCGAGCCGGGACCCTGGGCCGGTTCGGATGTGGCCGGGGTTCAGATCCATGAACCGGGTGCTGAGTGTGTGGGGTCTGGGCCCAGCACTGCCTTCCCTGGCTCCCGGCCAGCCAGCTGACTTTTGTCCTCACATGGCTAACGGAAGACGGCAGTCGGAGGATCCTGGGCACGTCCCCACGTGGACAGCGACCCCGGTGGGGACAGCCAGCTGTGACCCGGGTCTGGGCTCCCAGAAGTCACCTCCACCCCCGCCTTGGCCATGGCTGGTAAGAGGCGTCTTCGCGTCCAGTCCTCTGCCTCGAGGCCCCTGTTTTCCGTCCTTCAGTGGCATGGTGCCTCTTGCTCAGACCCTGAAGCAGGTCCCTCCCACGTGAGTCCTTGTCCTCGGGGCTCACTCTGGACCTCCTCTTGCGTCACTGGTTGGGCACTACCGGCTCCCTTCTGCAGTTTCCGCGGAATACTGGGTCTGCCCTCCGCTGGAGTCGTACAGGTCTTTTGTGTCCGTGTCTAGTTTATGAAGTGTCTTGGCTTTTACCGCCAAGCCGAAAATCAGGTCACGAGAGTCCAGTTATATCCGCGCAAGGGTATTTGCCGTACAGATCACTGAGGCCATGCAAATGCCCACACTTGTGAGCCTTCAGTGACCTAAGGCCGGTCCACACGGTTCACTGGTGCAGCCGCGGGCGGGCGCAGGCGGGGCGGGGGTTGGGGAGGTCTGCGCTGACGCGGAGTGACTCCATGAGAAAGGCAGCCTCCAGAAGCATCTATGGTATCGTTAACAAGAAAGTCGCAGGAAGCTGGAAGCGTCTGTGGGTTTGTGCAAACACGAAATCGAGGAAGGAGAAACCGGATGCTGAGAACGGTCAGCAGCGTGTAGTGTGGCTCAGAGTCCCAGCCGTCTGCCCGTCTCACGTGCGCAGAAATGAAGCCGCGGTGGTGGCCCAGCCAGGTGGCGGGGGGAGGGGGTTCCGAGCGGCGCACGGCTGGGGCAGAGCGTGGCCGCAGTGGACAGCAGAGGTCAGCCTGGTGCTGGGGACGAGGAGACAGGCTGTGTCCTCTGGGCAGTGGTTCACCCTCCCCAGTTCTGAAAGGGAGCGGGAGAGAAGGCAGACTGGGTCCTGCTTGTGTCACAGGTGTAGGTGGCCGCACAGAGAGAGACTCGGCTGCGTGCGTGCGTCCACACACGTGTGCCGGCCAGCTCTGAGCACCTGGGTCCTGGAGCTGCGACACCGGAAGCAGGAACCAGGCTCCTGGGGGGACAGCTGACGCTGGGGCCAGTGCCCGAAAGTCCACGCCGAGCCTGGACCATTTTGTGTCCGAAAGTAAGGGATTCCTGGAAGAATGAGGGGGCACGGCCACGCCACGGAGCCACACATGGGCCAGTTGGAACAACACAATATTGTAGTGGGTTGTGGTCCTCAGAACAAATGACTGTCCAGGAGTCCACACTCATAAATAATTAATGGAGGGCGCCTGGGGGGCTCAGTCGCACAAACCGACTCTTGGTTTCGGTCCAGGTCATGACCTCTCGGTCGTGGGATTGAGCCCCACGTCGGGCTCTGTGCTGATGGCCTGGATCCTGTTGGGATTCTCTCCTTCTCGTTCTCTGCCCCTCCCTGGCTCACTCACTCCCTGTCAAAAATAAACATTGAAACAATTTTCATAATTAATGGAATAAATGTGTCAGGGAGGGAGGGACAGTGCCCATAGTGGCACTGGGGACAGCAGTCCCTCCACAGCGGCAAGGGGTGCGGATGGGCCGCCCGGGGGCCTCCCCTCAGGGCGCCCAGCACTTACAAAGGGAGCCATAGGGTCAGTGTGGTCACTTTAGGTGCGTGGTCACCACTTGGTGACCTGCCCACGGCTGCTGCCCCCATCTGATGCCCCGAGAAGACCATATCCTTCTGGGGTTTTCTTACCAGAAATGGTAACCTCTGTCCATTGAGCCAACGCCAAACTGAACACGTTCTGCAGAGTGAGGACCAGGTGCTTTGGGAGCGCCAGGGTCCTGAAAGATAAAAACTGAGGAGGGGTCCAAGGAGACTGACTGCCACGCGGGCCCTGGGTCAGGGCGGATGGTGGCAGGCAGCCCGGGAGGCCTGGCGACCCACAGGACGCTTGGATTCTTGTTCTATGATGACGTAAGATGTTGTTTGGGGAAGCTGGACGTATGAACTCTTGTCCTGTTTTTGCAAATTTTTGGAAGTTCTAGGGGCACCCTCGTGGCTCAGTCGGTTAAGTGTCCGACTTCAGCTCAGGTCACGATCTCACGGTTTGTGAGTTCGGGCCCTGTGTCCGGCTCTGTGCTGACAGCTCAGAGCCTGGAACCTGCTTCAGATTACATTATTTCAAAATGAAGAAAGTATGTGGCATCAGATTCTGCGTGGTTTAACTGTACGTGATTGAGAAAATTCTCGCTCTGAAACGCATTCAGTGGATTTCGCAGCAGGTGACGTGACTCAGTGGTGTCGGCCCGGGGAGAGGAAGTGTGGGGAGAGCCCAGCTCTCTTCGAAGGAGCAGCAGTCGGCATCGCCTTGAACTTCCCAGATCAGAGTCGCTAGCCACGTGGCACACGTCCGTGCCGGACATGTGTCCACTTGAGCAAAGCCACCTAGGCACTTGTCACAAAAAGCCACCAGCCATATTCAGGTGCCGGGTAAGCCTCAGGATCTTTTTCCGTGTCCTCTTCAGAGCGGCTTTCCCCGCCCTGTAGCGAGGCTGACCCTAGCCCGCCTTCCCGAGAAAGACAGACCCTTCCCGGGGTCTCCTCCCACCGGCCCCCTTGGGTTGGTAGCTGGATGTTACATTGGCCTCAGCCGCGATGTTATCTGACACTTCGGGGCAGCAGCCACAGGACCCTCTGCCCCGCCGGCCCTGTCCCTCCCACTGTCACGAGCAGGACAGACTCCCCTCCATGAAGCGTCCTGTGCTCACATAAGTCACCGCAGACCCAGTGGCTTAAACAATACAGGTTTATGTTTATGCTCTGACCGTCCGCAGGTCAGAAGTGTAGATGGGCCCATAGGGCCGCGTTTCTTCCGGGGCTCTGGCGAGAGTCCGTCCCCTTGTCTTTCCAGCTTCTAGAGGCGCTGGCGTTCTTGGCCCGGGCCTGTCCTCGAGGGCGGCGCCTTCTCTCTGCCCTGACCTTCCCCCCTCTCCCGTCTTCTCCCTGACTCTGACCCTCCTGCCTCCTTACAGGGATCCTCCTGTTGACAATGCTGACCCAAATAATCCAGGGTCGCCTGCCTGCTCAACCTCCTTACCCTAATCACACCCAGAAAGTCGGATTCACGGGGTCGAGCCAGGGATGGGGCATCGGACCGCGTGGGCCTCGGGGCCGAGCAGCTGGCTGGTGGGAAGCTCGCGCAGGCCCGTGCCCAGAGGATGTGCTTTTGGGCAGCTGTGGGGTCTGTCTCCCCTGCAGTGACCCCATCACGGGTGGAACTTGCTCAGGGCTGCTGGAATCCCGTATTTTTCTGAGGTCTTTTTTACTGGTTGTTACTGGATTTGCAGCCACTCTCGCTGGTGACGACAGAGAATGAGTATGGCTTAATAAACGGGATCAGAAGGTCAGAACCGGCCTTTGCACGTATGACATGACCCCTCTTCCCGTAAAGCGTCTCTCTAGACATTTCCGGATTCGATGTAGACGCGAGAGAGGTCTGGGATCCCATACGGTGAGTGTTCACAGTGCACGTCCATGTGGCGGGCACGTCTGGACGGACCTATGTGGCTTTCCTCCAAGTATTTTTCTTTATGGCTGTATTTTATAACAAGTGTGCATCGTTTTTATAGAAACAACCGTTAGTTTAAAACTGCTTGTGTTTGGCCGTAATTTTATAGAACCTATAAATTACGTGCTTGTGGTTGTAATTTTATATCGTGCACGAATACTGCCCGGTTTCTTTTTCCCGGTAAAACTGTGCCGGTTTTGGGTTGAGATGCAGTTCCGCGAAGCACACAGGGCTGGCCTGATGGCCCCAGTGGTCACTTGATGGAGTCTTGGAGGGGAGGCGTGGCGGTCTGCTCCGGTCCCCCCGCAGGAAGGCGGGAACACCGTCACGGAGCCAGCCCTCCGACGCCTCCCCAAACGAGAGCCCCTTCCTGTCTGTGCTGCCTGCCTCCTGCTGGTCTCTCCCGGGAACCAGAGTTCAGTCATCCCATCCACCTGGCATTCGGATTCAGTCTTTGAGTGAGATTATTTACGGGTGAAAGGGCAGGGATTTTAGGACTGCAAGAGGCAGTGAAGAACTTTCTATCAATCCACAGAAGTGACTCTC